GTCTCGATACGACAAAAATGGCTTAACATAATATAACATAAATATCGTATAAAATTATCCACACTTTACTCACAATACGAAATATACACAAAGTCAATAATATATAACACATTTATGGCTTAAAAATATATACTATGGAGTTATAATAATAATAATAATAATAATATTTTCTCGTCGGGGACAAATGGATCGAACGCGTAACGATCCGCTGGCTGCAGTCTACTATAACAATATAATATAAGTACTCGTTTTACGAACGAGCGCTGAAGGATAAAAAAAAAATTTGAAAAAAAACGAATTAATGAATTCGCACTCGATTTTATTTAAAAAATTGGCCGTTTCCAACGGACCGCGTGATCCGATCGTTTCGGACGGTTAACGCGACTACGACGCGATAATATTACAACACAACGACACGGAGATATAATTCGCGGAGATGTTTCGGGTGCAGTTATTTCGCAATAATATTATAAAATATATTTTATACACGCGTACTTCGATGTAATAATAATAATAACGACGACGACGACGACGATAACGGTATTATTCAGTCTCCGGTTCAATCGGCCGTCGAAAATGTCCTAAAATTTCCGGCACATTTCACGCTCCATAATAGTAATGTTATGATACAGCGTATAATGCACCGCCCAAAGTCTCACCCCGCACGATATCTGACTGACACATCTACAATAATATAAACTATATTTTATGTGTACGACCAGTCCATTTGACGGTACACTCGTCTTTGCGCTCTCGAAATTTGAATAATAATAAATACGATATCGTTTGCGAATCGAACATTATATCATCTTTCATCTAAAGTATTTTTTTTCGAATTAAAATATCATTCCCTACTTGCAGTATACGATTAGGTACTGTATGCACATGGCACACGCATAATATAAATGTACAGGGTGATTCGCCCCGGGCACACTCATTCGTGTTTTTTCTGCAATAAGTAATTCACGGTTATTCAAACTTTGATTTTTCGATTTTTTTTAATATACTCATGGGCCTTATGTTTTCAGACGCTTGAGATTCTTTTTTTACTCCTTAAGGAGTGTCATCAGTTCTTCGGTGGAGATATAAACTTCTATTCTTCAAATAAAAACTCCGGTTTTATACAGTACATTGTTTAATGAATAATTTTTCTGAAAATGTTGGAGTATTAAAATCAAAATTTAAACGAGTAATTTTTTGAGTTGTTTAATTTTGTTTACCTACTAATAGGATGATTATAGATCCATGTTAATTGGGTTTGAAAGGTATGAGGACTATTGTAATTTTAGAATTGAAGTAACTTATATTAATCTATCTGTATAGTATTTATAAAAATATAAAAAATGGTCCGATAAACTATCTACCTCTGATATTAATATATTTTATAGTTTCGTAAGATCATTTGTAAGTAAAATCATTTTAATACCACTGAAATATTTCAGGTTAAAATTATCCATATATAAGTAATTTGCTTTAAAAAGGGCGGGGGAGTTCTTATTTGAAAAACAGAGGTTTGTATCGGCACAAGAATTTGAAAACATGGTCATTAAGTAACCAGTATGTATAATTTAAAAATTCTAAGAGTCAAAATATGAATAAATCCATTATTAAATGGGGAAATAGGGGTGAGCGTGGACGGCGAGACACCTTATCGTATATTAGAATAATATATTGAAAGAAATAAAGACACGATCTGACGTATCATAAACATCACATCCATAATATTATAATAATATATTATACTGCACAAATGCGCATATTGTGTGTTAACCGCGTTATTTTGTCGCTGTCTGTTGGCACTTGAAATACATTTCAACCCCTTCGCCCGTCGCCGAGATTAAAGAAAAAGTATTGCTTTTCCGCTCTAACCACGCCTTTTGTTCTACGCTGCTACCGTCGAGAGTAGTGAGGTACTATTATATATATAATTTAATACAACTTTGTCGGTATATACACTACCATACACTACCTATATAAATGTATATTATCGGCCACACACTTTTATTCCGTTGAATAATTCATCTTGAAAACACACCACCGCAGCAGCAGCAGTAAGGTTTGCTCAGATGCACATCATCTCTCCGAGCACATGTATAATAATAATAATATATATAATATATTTTATAGGTACATGCTACCAGTAAGATATAATAATAATAATAATAATATACTTTTGGTGCTATATATGCTACATAAATATTATAAATATATATATATGAATTTAATTTGTGTATAAATAAATATCCACTTAAATGCAAATACACTAGACTAGCCTTAGTCAACTTTCGCTTATAATATGCCAAATTATTGTAGATGTCAGAGTGGACATTTTACATATATTGTTATATTATAGTTCTACTTACTTTTTATGAAACCACTACGTTTTTGAAAAAAATCTTATTTTTTTAATCCTTTGAGTCACACATTATTTTTTTTTTCACAAAATGAACAGAGAAATTGCATAGTACACATAATTTATTATTTGTTGTCAAATGATAACTAATTGATCTAGGACAGCGGTTCCCAACCCATAGGCCGCGGCCCACTTGTGGCCCTCGAGCAGTCTGGTACTGGACCGTGAACAGTATAAATATATAATATTTAATATTATATATATATTTAAAATAACATTATTACATATTTTTAATATATAGCTAATAATATTTCTGGTTATAATATTTACCAATATTATGTACACTCTGTAGTGTCAAATTAGTTTATAATTAACACTTAATATAAGAATAAACTGACTGTTGAAAGTGATTTAATTCTAAAAACATCCAGTTTTCATCCCGATCTTGATTCTCTCATAAAGAACACTTAATGTCAAAAATCTCATTAAATTGATTAACTTGTGATGAAGTTTAATAAAGTGTTTTTCATGACAGACAATTGATTTTTTAATTATTTTTAGTTCTAACAACTGACGTTTATATATATATATATATATATATGCATTCGTATATGGGTGAACTATTTGTGGGCTTCAAAGATTTTTTTACAAAATCGGTTGTCCCCAAAACTAAAGAGGTTGAGAACCGCTGATCTAGGATATTTTGAAACAATGAAAAAAATGTACCGTCTTGTCAACGTGTTTAGCCTACAATTAAGCCCCTCGAGTGAATCCTTTATTCTTGAAGCTAAAAATTCCGAATATTGACCGAGAAAACCGTGTGTAGTATATGGTACTAATGTGGTGTACAGACTTAGGTATATATATATATTATACATTTTTCACCATGTATATAAACCTACCTACTGCAGTGTTGTTTTAATTATAATAATTACAACCGACAATCGAGTCAGTAGGTCTCAAATTGTATAAATTAATAACATAATATTATGTTACTATATGTGCGGAATAATGGGCTATAGTGAACTTTAGTTCGAATAAAAACATAATTAAAATTATTTTTTTATCAAACATGATTTAATAGGTAGGACGAGTAGGGATATTAATAGGTTATTAAAATAATTGTAATGCATAAATATAATTATCATTATTCTTTATGGCTACGACTTGATTTTTTTTTATTAATTAGCTTTTAGTCACTAAGCATGGCATGGCACGGCAGCTCGACAATTATACAATCACACAATATCATACACTTATACTAGATAGGCTTATGACGAACATAAAAGGAAAATACGATATGCAGAGATATTAGACAGTAAAAAGTATAAAAAAAATGTACGAAAATAATATTAACAACATTCAATTACGAAATCAGGTTTCATTATAAGTCAATTATTTTTTAATGACCATTTCAGATTTAATATTGAGCATAGAAGAGATATTGAGGTGAATGTTTAGAGACTTTAGGTAGCTGAACAGATTTACGCTTAGAATATAATGATGAACAGTCACGCCTACAACTTGGAACGGTGTATCGCAGTTATTTTACCAACTATATTTATAGGTACCGGACACGTTTTCTTTTGAAATTTTTTGTTTTTTCCTTAACTATTAACAATAGTTAGGTATACCTACTGAAAACGATGGTGAAGTCAGAACATAAGTAACTTCTTTTATTATCTTTAGGGTTACTTCAGTTTTCAAGCAAAAACAGTGATTTTTAAAATTAGATGATCCGTGCAGCGGATAAGTCATATAATGTCAACAATCAGTATTGCTTAACTTATTATAGGTGTTGAAAATTATATTAAATAAAAAAAAATGTTTTTTTGTTTCTTTTAAATCGTGATGTTTTAGATTTAAAATTATTGTCAGCGATTATTTTAATATTTTGTGGGTTTTCTATATTTTCCGGGGCTCTGAAAAAAGCACGTTTTCCCCAAAATAGTCTAAAATTTAAATACAATCACATAAAAAATCATGTTCAATAAATGGAAACTTAATTGTTAATTATATTTGTAAATCTATATTATATGTAGGTACAACGATAATTTGATAAATTGTAATGAACATTGGTCGGTAGGTACTAGAATAGTCAATATAACATTATAATATTTATACCACGTCGGCATTTCAAATGAAATGAAATAACATTCCAGTCACATTTGGGTTATTCAAATAAAGTAATTTTAGTATTATTTTAAGTACATACTTTCGCAATATTTTCCGCAAAGAAATCTGGGTTTGTACTTTGTATAGTGGTAGTTTTTTTTTATAGTGACCTATATTTTTAATTTGGTATGCGCTGAAACGGAATATTTTTATTTCGACGTATAAATGATGATGTGAATAAATTAAATTAATCATATTAAATATTTGTAATCATCTTCGAAAGTTTAGACGAGCGGTGTTGGACTGCAGAGACACAGAGTACATAATATACATATAACACTGCAATATTTTGAGGGGTATTTCCCCCCTGCCTTCCCCTTTGACTGTTTTCAGTTAAACGCTTCCTATACTCTCGTCTTCCTGCCGTCCTCGCAGTCGCTATCAGCTGATAATAATTTAATTGATTGATTAATTAATATTATTTTAGGTACCTATACGTACACAATATGCTGCGGTAAGCTATGCAGTCGACCGTCGTCCGTTTGCACAACAATCAAAGATCACACGCCGCAACGGGGCAACGGGGAAAATAACAACTTGTATAATATTTTACAAACTGTTTGTAATAATAACACAATAAGCGTTACAGCCAAGTCGAACGTTATTTTACATCGTATAATTACGAGCAAAGCTCATCGATCGATCGACTGCAGCTTGGCGATCAATCAGCAGCGATAGTCGTACAAGGTGGTCGTAGTCGTAACCGGAAACGTTTTTATTTCGTGCTGCAATCTGTACATAATATACACGCGTAAGTGCCTACCTGTCGGTATAATAAAATAATATTTTATTATTATTTCATAAATCACATCGCAGCGAGTGATAGCCTGCAGTATAATAGTAATCGAATCACCGTCGCCGTCGCCGAGCTGTAAGCGTCGATTCCGTTATTATACAGTCGTATAATAGCTATACCTAGGTAGACCCAGTTGCTGGCCGCACGCGCATAATCGTCCGTAAATACTGTATACCAATACTGACCAGCTAGGTAATAACCGTACACTTACGACCGCAATACTCTAATAATATATAACAATAATAATAATTTAGTGTTGTGATATACGTCGCCATCGTATAGTCCATCGCCCCGTCATGGATAAACGCGATTTGACCGACGACGTGACGAACTCGCCGGACCGCAAACAACCTCTGAAGACGACCGTGAGCATGCCGATCCTCGGGCAGAGGAACAACGACGAAAACCGGCGCGAGAGGCGTCAGCTGATCGGAAAAACGGAAGAGATGTCCTCACTTCCGGACGGCGGAGACGACGACGATCTGCCGAGGCCTGCTCTGACCAAGTCGACGAGTTGCTACTACGTGCAGCAGACGGGCGCACAACCGTCGGCCGACTGCAAACCGCCCCGAGCCGACGACCAATGACGAGACTTTTGACGGCGACCAGTCCACATTATAACACAATACGTATTTAGGTATATATTGTATAACGGTGTAATATTGTAATGTATTGACAACGAGAGAAAATAGTTGTATAATAATATATACTTTTCTGCCCGAAAGCGAGGTTCAACGGATATGTTGTTTTTTATTTCCGGGCTCCAGTTTTCCGACACTATAAATATATCTTACAACCGTCGACGGACGACAATCGTCAGGATGTATACCTATACGTATAATAGTTACTCCGCCAATTTCGAATTCTGCAAGTTCTTCCACGCAAATTATAGTTCGCACACGATTCGCACGAATTTTCACGACCGTTCCCCTTGACATTTGTACGGAATCGGTTTATGCGCGGGAAATTCAACTTTCTATTGGTTGGGTGTCGAGAAAAGCGTGAATTGAATTTTCAGGGCCAACCGACGACGTTAAAACCAGAGCAGCGGTCTCCCAAATCGCGTGCCATTTAATTTACATGGACAAATTGGCTATATTTGAAATAGTGAGAGACGTGCGTACCATCGGGTTTGTGGAGAGTACGTTTTTTATTTTATACAACACGAGTAATACGAGTCCGGCCTATGTAAGTATCATAGACAGTCCATAATAAGTACCGATTGCGCTCTATATTGTTGTAACTATATGGGCGGGGAGGGTGTTTGAGGGCTTAGCCGTAAAATACAATATTTTTTCTCCCAAAAACAACAATTATTGCGTATATATTGCCTATAGTTGTAGCCCATGGTTCGAAATATTATTGTATCTTATTCACGATGTCCTCGCAATATTTCACGTTTAATATAACAATTTTCATCAGTGGTGCAGCTTAGCAGTACGGCTAGGTTATTGACGATGGCACGGAGTGTACCGAAAAGCATAATAAATAATATTTCATGTTTGTGTGATAGAGCAATGACAAGTGAGACGTCCCATTTTACCGGCGCCACCAGCGCGTACGATAACATATTATACGTATACCGATAACATCATTTTGGCAGCTTGCGACGTAGTCAGACTGCCAGAGAATGTACCTTTATATGCTTGTATAACGACTTTGCAAGTATTATGTTATAGTCAAATTTAAATATAATTATAATAACGATTTTAAAAAAATATATATATTTGTTTTTTTTTGCGATTTATCCCATAAAAGGTCGGTATATGCAGTGTGTCGACAAAAACAACATGGTACTCCCTATGACTATCGATTACTTGCATTACTAAAAGGGTCCTATACATATTTTTTATTTTCGGGCATGAGACTAAACTATTGGATCATAAATTCCTATAACTTACGATTGTTCAACTCTTGTAATTTGCTCATGCTTTTTTTGTGTACCCATACCCTGTTTTTGCAGACACACGGTATGGTTTTGTAATTTCCAATATTGTCAACACTACTAGGTAAGTAATTGTGTTGCTATTAAAAAAAACCAAATCGAATCATAAACAAAGTTTTTCTCATTAAATCTTATATTCACCTAAATCAATAGTTCTCAACTGGGTATGACGTTTCGTCCAAGGGTGACATGGGCTATAGGGGTAAAATAAAATACCCACAAGAAAAGGAAAAAAATTAAATAATTATTAATTTTTCGATTAAAATCGTATAGTTGCATCCAACATAATAATTTATAGGTATAATAATAGAAACATAATATTATACTTTATACACCTATTCATTTTTAATTTTTTTTTAGTACGTCAATTACATATGTTTATTGAATGTTGAATTCGAATAAAGTGTATAATTATCTGTTTTTTTATGTTGGTACTGTAATTGTTTTGAATAAAATGAAAATCGCTCGTATTTTCCTTCTAAATTGAACAATTTAAATTATTGTTTAATATATTTATGTTAGGACAATGAAGTGTTGGATACTAGTGGCTAAGGGTGATATGAAACAAAAAAGGCTGAGCACCACTGACTTACATACTATTATTATTATTATAATTATATTCTACCGATGAGCACTTGACATGTGAAATGTAGAATAAAATAAATTAAATTATATATTATAATAGGTGGCAATATAATGTATTAATAATATGATTACCATACACCGATAACGTTTATAATAATGATTATTAATGTTTAGTAGGCACCTATAATATAGGTTACTCCATTATATTATTACTTTCGTTATACTATGACGTGTGTAATGAGTATTTTACAATTATAAGTAGTTATTCCTCTCAATAATGTTGATAAAATTAGAATATTTCTGTTGTAATCATAATATTATATTGGTACACATTGATCCGCGGTTATCGGCGAGTAAGAATCAAATGTTTTTTTTTACCTAGGTACATACATTTAATCAAATCAATAAATTATATAATTAAATCATTATTTGGTTTAGTATTTACAGTGCTATTACATTTAACAATGTTTAATGAAATGTCTTATAAGTTATACGTAATATTATAATGACATGTAAACGCAATAAATGTTTCGGCATCATTATATTATTATAACAGATACCTGTGTATTGGTAATAAATCTTGAATATTAATTGTGTTAATTTTTTTTTAAAGATTTAATGACGGAATCTTTTAATCTATAAAAACTAGGATTCTACATTCCCTCACAAGTTTGGTATGCTAAGGGAGTGGGTGCGTGACATTTTATTGTTTTGCAGTAAATTTCATTCAAGTGTCTTCGCTGAACACTGACAGCATTTATTTAAATTTTCCTAAAATAGCATGCTACTCATTCAGCACTCTTTCCTGGGTACGCCACTGCTCTGTGCAGGTGTAGGTACCTACAATACAGTTGTATTGTGAAGCCCGCGGTATATAAATACAAAATTAAAATAGAATACTCACCTAAATAACATTATACTGCAAAATACCAACTATATCATATACTTTATATTTTAATTTTTTTTTTTTAAACATCACGTTGCAGCGATCAACGTAGAATAAAATGAATTATAGGGCAAGAGGAATGAGGACGTTATGCATTTATTCAAAATGAACCCCTGCATACTTTAAAAGTTTTACGTACTCGATAAGGGATACAAACAAAATATGTTTAATACATTCAAAACATCATATGAATGTATTTTGTCAGCAGATCCAAAATAAAAAAAAATTGTTTATACTTATATTTATTAATATTTGAATGTTCGTTTACAATCCTCCATCTCTCATACATAACTATAACCGCACATAGGTAGATACAGCACACGTGATGTAGTTTTCATTTTCTTCTGGTAAAAGCTCATTAGTGTGTGTGTGCGTCTGTTTTCGCATGGTCTGGTATAAAGGCAATGGAGTATAAAATAATAATATAAGAACATATAGGTTTTGACATCATATAGGTGCAGTTTTACGATATTATATTGAGCCCTACAAAAAATGTTCTCCACTTAAAAACGCAGATTTATTTAAATTTGTATCAATTTACAAGCCGAAAGCTAGCTATTACACCGATGATCAAGCGCACACACAATGCAGTGTAATTTCGTCATTATATTTTTAAGATTTTATTTTATTGAATTGTGTTCCTACGAAGTTAATAGTTAATACATTTTTTTAAATATATTCTGAAATAAGTATATATAGTGTATACAATATAATTATTTTCCTCGCGCGTTTTACTGCAAATTAACACAAATAGCAATGCTGCACAGTATACGTCTATAATACCTAATGCATACTAAGCAATGATGAAAATCGAAGTCTCTTTCGCAGAGATTATTCGTCAAGGCGAAGCGGTTGGTGCGTGCAGGGCAGCAGGTTAGTTGACAAAAAAGTTAAACAATATCATATTATAGGTACGTACGTCAGTCATATAACAATGACGACGATATCATAATAATTTAACATAATAATATGTAACACACATTTTTTATATATATATATATTTTTTTTTATCACAATAGATGCGGAAAAAAATTATATCTTACACGTACCCGCATGTACAATAATAATATAATACTAAACCCACGCGCAGACGATCCGAGGACGTGCGCAGCTCAGACGGACGTACGCGAGACGAGCATCGAACCGGTCGTTTGGAAAGTGAAATACGACCGACTTCGGAGGTTAGGCAGCAGCCAAACATATATACTATATAATAATAATAATAATAATAGTAATAATAATAATAATAATAATAATAATAATAATAATGATAATAATAATACGACATCATGTGCCTATATAATATTATTATTATCATATTATGTACAACTACGAGTGTACGCGCACGTAAGCTGCAGCAGTGAGCACCGTGTACCTACCCATCGCGTCTCTCCCCGGCTCTGCGGCGTGTAGGCAGGTGTAGGTACCTACCCATATAATAATATGAGCTTTTAGTATTCCGTCGTCGTGAGTCCCATTCGGCGGGACCGGTAGTCGCCGGCCGTTTGTGCGTCTGCTGCAGCCTACGTAAACGCGCGTACCAAGTTTATGTACCTACCTACCTACCTATAATAATATAATATTTACGTGACCGCAATGACAGAACCGGATCGGACCGGGCACGTACGCGAGAGCACATAGAAGCGTAGCACCGCGACGTGTATGCAGACACATGGCTAGGTATGGGTATGCGCCATAGTGCGAGTGTGTGTGTGAAGGCAGATAAGTAGCCAAGTATAGGTACCTATACTCACACGAGTCAAGTGTGTGCATGTGTGTGTGTGTGTGTGTGTGTGTGTGTGTGTGTGTGTGTGTGTGTGTGAAGATAGGTAGCCAGATACCTAGCTATATAATAATAATAAGTGATGTACGAGACAAACTCGAATGCCATACGCGTATGCCGTATATATATATATTTATTTTATTATTTGGCGCATATACCACGTCCTATCCGCGGTTATCAGCAGCTGCTATCACGTATACAAGTTTCGTCCTGTTGGACGTCGGCCAACAGGTGAGCATAAATAATATAATAACATTTAAATTGCTATTATAATAATATCGCTGTTGTTATAATATTATAGGTATATACCTTTTATTAGGTATTATATTGCACGAGCGCGCATCATAATAATATAATAATAAATAGTGTTGTTCCCTCCCCTCACCCCATCAACACGTCGCCGAACCATAGATCCTGAACTCGACGTGTCTTCCACACACGAGCCCTCGCCGAATATATTATAATATAATATTATGTTATTATAATAGCGGTGTCAAAT